AACATGTTGAAAATAGAATATATAAAAAGAATAATTCAATTAACTTATATCATGGGAATAAATTATTAATTTCCGACAGAACTTTTCTAAATATATCGTTTGTTTAAAGCAATTATTATTGGGTTTTGAATTTCAAAGAATGGGAAGAAATATGAAAAGATAGTAAACTCAAGAGTCGATTTGACATTATAATTGTGACCCACATTGTTTTCATTGAGTTTTTATTTTAAGCTAATGATATTTAGCATGATTTATTTTTATATTTATTATGCATTTATTCCGTCGTTCATCTGATTCTGTGATTAATAAAGTCATTATTTTTGTGCTGCTTATAAAAATCAACTGGGTTTACTGATTAATATAAATATTAACTTTTTTATTAAGATTGACAAAACATGATTACAACTAGTAAAGAAATGCATAGTGGTGCTCAGATATTTCGTGAATTTTTGAATATTAAATAAATGGTAAATACGCCAAGGTAATATATTATGTAAAGTATATAATCTCATGTTTACAGTGAACAAACAAACAAAATTTTAAAGCAAATAATAGTCGCTGGGTAACATATCAATTTGTATCGAAAAAATAATGTACTGTATAATAAATTTGAAATAACTTATAGTGATTTATTTGGATATGTGTTAATATTTTGAATTGAAACATGTATTATCGTATTTTTAAAATGAAATCGTTTTGGTAGAAAATTTTAGTAAATGTTTTTAAAAATAATTAGTTATAAATTATAATTAAAATAACTTATAATGCATAAATTGTTTGGTAATTGTCAATAATTTACAATTGACAGTAAATCAGACCTGGAGCACATCATAATTGGCAAATTATTTTTGCTTAAATTGCTTAGATTAAATATATTCTTGCCATAGTAACAGTTTTGTCACAATTAACTATCATATAAATACTGATGTTTTTTTAAAACTATACACCTGGTGTTTGATGGTTAATTATTACCTAGGCTAACAATGATTAATCAAAACAGATTTAAATTAATCATTGTAAGTGTTCAAAATACATGCAGAACAAATACTTACATGTTTAAAAATTATAATCATTGCAAAAATTGTGATTAAGAAATTAAACATAATGAACATGATATAAATTTACAAACTTTTTGTAATTATTAATCACTGATTAAAATTATCAAATTAAATAAGCCACTAATAGACATTGTGATATTTAAATTAATAATAATTAAATTAGCATGCGTGTTATTGTAAATATTATCTACTTGTGATTTAATAATATATTAAGCCATATGTTATGGGCAACATAATAAATAATTCCCATGATATAAGTTAATTGAATTATTCTTTTTATATATTCTATTTTCAACATGTTTAAACATAAAACTATTTAAAAACAAATCCTTGATTAGCTTGAGCATAATGGTTTATTCACATAATGTGTTTATTGACAGCAAATATTAGTTATTGATAATTAATTGCAAAATAGAAATCTCTGTGTATATAAAAATGAAATACCAAACACTATTAAAATCAGTAGTAAAATAAGATTATTGCAAATTATAATAAAATATTTTACATTCAAAATGCTATTCACAAGTATTTTAGTAGTGTTTATGGCGTTCATAGGGCGAGGGTATGGCGAGTGGGCGCTCGTATGGGAAGACAACTTTGAGGGCGATTCACTCGATGAGGACAAATGGTCGTATGAAACCGGAGCCGAACCCAGTATAATTCACTATGCAATATGACCAAGTTTATTAAAAGTAATCACTACCATGTTTACGCTAATAGATTGGGGCAATCATGAGCTCCAGTACTACACTGAGGACCAAGAGAAAAACGTGAGAGTAGAAAATGGCCATTTGGTAATCCAGGCTCGACCTGAGGTGAAGGGCAAAAGTCAGTTCACATCGGGTCGGTTGGACACGACTGAGTCGTGGACTCGGGGCCGCTTTGTTATCAGCGCCAAACTCCCAAAAGGCAAACACTTGTGGCCAGCGATTTGGATGATGCCTAAGGAGGACACATATGGCGATTGGTTTGTTCTTGATAATTATTAACCTTAACTATAATTATTAATTAGTAATACAATTCAACCTAAATGAAAAATGTGTTGCAAATCCCAATGGATAGGCCGGCCAGCGGTGAGATCGACATAATGGAGTTGCGGGGCCAACACCCGGACACAGTGGAGGCGACGGCCCACTATGGCGGCGCCTTTCCTAACAACATATTCTCGGGCAGTCCTGAGACCAAATTCAGTGACTTTAGTACAGCTTTCCATGAGTTTGCGTTGGAGTGGGACGAGAATGAGTTGCGATGGTATGTCGACGGCAAGCAGTACTTCAAGACCAATGTGCACAAAGACCTATGGTCACATAAGGGCAAAGACCCCTACACTAAGATTGGACAACCCTTTGATAAACCCTTTTATTTGATATTGAATGTGGCGGTCGGCGGAGACTTTTTCCCCGTCGATGAGTACGGACCGCAAGTGACCCCCGCAGAGGCCAAACAGTGGTCAAAGCCCACGATGGAAGTGGACTTTGTAAAGGTGTATCAACAGAAATAATCTATCACTGTCTTTTCCCCTATTTTTAATGATTTACCATAATATATAAAAATATATAACGATGTATTACTTTTGTTTGTAATCTATTAAAATTTTTGTTTACCATTTAAATACTATTAAATAAACTTTATTTAAAAGCAATCATTATTTTATTTTGTTGTGCGTAAATAGACTTTTGTTTTAAAGCATGTAAGATTAAAATGCTAATCACTGGATTTTAATGTTTATATTTTTAATGATTGAAACATTTATTTGTTCTTTATGTAAATTTTATAACAACTCAGTACAATCAATAACACATTATTTTGCACAAAAATTTTATTTTTACTCAAATATAATAAAATGACATGGTATTTAATATGTTAACTTTGTTACACAGAATTAATTACCAAAGATTTTGTAGTTTAATGTTTGGAATTATTATTATAAATGACATATTGTAGAAAATGTAGATAAATTCACACATGTTATAATATAATATTTTATTTGTTTTATATACAAGTATAAATGAATATTTATTGCAAATTTCGTAAAGCATGATTTATAGGAATTATAAAAGTAGATTATTATTAATTTATATTGTAACCGACAACTGTACCATAGATAAAGTTGAAAGTCAAGGGTGGGGGCCATTGGAGGCGCTTATTTCTGTTGATACACTCTTACAAAGTCCACTTCCATCGTGGGCTTAGGCCACTGTTTGGCCTCTTCGGGGGTCACTTGTGGTCCGTACACATCGACGGGAAAATAGTCTCCGCCGACCGCCACATTCAATATCAAATAAAAGGGTTTATCAAAGGGCTGTCCGATTTGTGTGTAGGGGTCGACGCCCTTATGTGACCAGAGATCCCGGTGCACATCGACCATAAAGTATTGCTGGCCATCGACTAACCAACGCATCTCAGTCTCGTCCCATTCAAATGTAAACGTATGAAAACCGACACTCAAGTCAGTAAACTTAGTCAAAGGGCTCACAGAGACCGTGTGATTAGGGTAGGGCCCGCCGTACTGGGCTTTGGCCTCAACTGTGTCCGACTTCTGGCCCCTGAACTGGAATATGTCAATATCACCGCTGGCCGGCCTGTTTTGGGTTAGATTACTTTGTTTTTTCATATTATGTAACATTTAATTTTATTAATAAATACCAGTTTCCATATGTGTTTTGTGTAGGCATTATCCAAACCGCTGGCCACAAGTGTTTGCCTTTGGGCAGCCGAGCGCTCACCACAAACCGGCCCCGAGTCCAGCCGTTGTTTGTGTGCAATCGGCCCGAAGTAAACTGGCTTTTGTCCATCGGCTCCGGCCGGGCCTCGATTACCAAATGGCCATTTTCTACCCTCACGTTTTCACGCCTGTCCTCCGTATAGTACTGGAGCTGATGATTGCCCCACTCTATTGATGCAATAAGGTAATAAATATTTGTTTTAGTGATTTATCATCATGTTTGCAATGTAATTTTTGATTATTACTTGGTTCGGCTCCCGTTTCATACGTCCATTTGGTCTTATCAAGTGATTGGCCATCAAAGTTGTCTTCCCATACGAGCGCCCACTCGCCATACCCTCGCCCTATGAACGCCATAAATACGGTTATAATACTCGTTAATAACATAATGTGGTAATAAATGTAACTGGATTATTTTTATATGATTTTTGTTAATTTTGCTTTTAATAGTGTTTTGTGTTTGCATTTTATATATTTTCAAACTATTTAATCTATTGGTGAGATTATTTCCACAATTGACACATGTTATGTAAAATGATAAATGACATTTATTTTATTGCCAAACACAATGTATCTGTGTAAATATAACAAAGATCTAAATAATAAATGTTTAATTAAAATTTTCTAGTTTTATTTTCTACATATTATGACATTTCTGATACACTAGGGATCTCTCTATAATCTTAGACATTACATGACATAAAATTTTGAATTTTAATAAATATTTTAACATAAAAATGTATTAAAAAATTATAATTTGAATTTTGCAACTTTGTATAATTTTTAAAAAAATAATTTTATAATAAAATTAAATATAATGTAAGTATATTTATTACATTATTTATATTCTGTAATTATGTAATCATCAATCATAATTAATTCACATTATTTTGTATAATTCTGTAATATATTACATATTTATGAAATCATCGCTCATACCATATAATAAGCAAAAATAAAAGCAAAAATACATGATAAAAAGTATTTGTCTAGAAAAAACCTTAATACATACAGAAATGTATGACAGAATTAGGGTTGGCAATATGACAAACCATGTATTTTACGTATGTTTACATAGTAACATGCACAGATTTTTCATTTTGTAAAATACATCATTAAAAAAATTTATTGGTAAAATTTTTTAAATATTTTTACAAAACTTGGGTAAAATGTTTGCACACTTGTTATTTGTTTATTATTGTTAAAATAATCATTGATTAAAATGAATAAATAATAGCCACAATCAATTATTTGGAACTATTTTACAAAAACAGATGATAAAAATTGCTGCAATTT